ACATTTTGTGTCAACTATACTTCAATAAAAAAAGTGTCTCCCATGCCTATCATACCACCTGATATTAAGTAAGTATGCACTAGGTCACCTGGGTGGCTCAGTCGTTAAGCATCTGTCTTCAGCTCAGGTCATGGTCCCAGGGTCCTGGGATCGAGAAGCAGGAAGCCTGCTTCTCCCCCTCCCACTCCCCCCTGCTTGTGTTCCCTCTCTTGCTTTGTCTCTCTCTGTCAAATAAATAAATAAAATCTTAAAAAAAAAGAAAAAAGTAAGTATGCACTAAAAATTTGTTGAATCAGTTAGATGTGATGTGAATCAATTTATGCTATGACACTTCAATGAAGGGTTTATGCTTTAGCTGAGGAGGTGAAGCTAAAAAGCTAGAGAAATTTGAGAATATTGTAATTAATGTAAGTAGGGGGAAAGTAAAACTTGAATTTATTATTAAAGGGTTTTTATTTTTTTCTTTAACCCAAATAGGTTTTCATATTCTTTTGATAGGTTTATATTTAGTCTTCAGTAGGAATTTTAGCCTATCAGTGATTTTATTCTTTCTCTCCCTGATATATTATTACCATGATGCACTTTTGCTGTGCTTCTTTTCAAGCTGCAATTGAGTTAGAATCTCACATCTTAAAAAATAATTTTAAAAAGCATTCACACAAACTCATAATACCTCAGGTCTAACACTTTATCTTTTCTCTTTTATAGCTGGCTTCTCAAAGAGAAAGAAATTTAAAAAAAAGAAAATGACAAATTATTTATTTTCCTATTTAACTATGGTCCTTTCAAACCCCTGCTATTAAAAATTACCAATAATCTATTTTTTTCTTATTGCTAAAACAATAAATTGTTTTTAACCTTCTTTTTACTTGAACTTTCTGCGGTATTTATTGCTTATTATTTTTAAAATTCACTATTTGTTACCATTGACTTTTCCGTCTTGCATGAAGTTATTGTTTCTTGGCTTCCTTAATGTCTCTCTCTCCTGGCCCACTTCTGCCACTGTCTGCCATTCATTCTTAGTAGCTTTTATTGAAATCTCTCAGTATCCCTCCCCTCAGTTGGTATATTGCCTAAGATTGTCTCCTTGATACTCTATTCCTTTGGGCTTTTTGTCTTTTCATTTTATGCTCTCATCCTCGGTGATCTTGCTCATTCTCAGAAAGTTTATTTCTTACCAAAATGTCAACAATTCTCACATACAAATGTAGCTCAGAATCCTTACCTGCACCCCACATGCAGCATATACAAGTGTCTTTGGGCAAATACAAGTGCACGTTCCTTCTCTTCCAGGCATCTCAAACTCAAATTGGATTCATCATCATTCTTAATTCTTCCTGTAGCGTCTCTCTTAGTTATCAGCAGCACCATCTACATAACATCCTATGGGACCTAGTCAACCTATGTTTTTCTTTCCTTGTCTTCCCACTTCTAACCAGTTGCCAATTCTTTAAACTCTACCTCCTCAGCACCTGATTCCTCCTCCTCATTCCCATACTACTTCAGTTCAGATTCCTCCAATCTCATGTTTAGACTAGTGCGAAATACCTAGCTATTAGCTCATCCAATTTCCTCTCCTTCAATTCATCCTCCTCATTGCAGCCTAGATGGTCTTCTAAAAACACAAAATTCATTATGTCACTTCCTGTTTAAATCCTTCCGTGAGCTCAATTTATGGACTTAGAATCAAAATACCTGAGTATGATAAAATAGGCCCTTTATAATTTTCTACACTTACTTCTTGTCAGCTTCTTCCCTTTCCAACTCTACACATCAGCCAGAACACATTGCTGATTGTTCTCCAAAAACACAAAGTTACTTAAGAATGCCATGGCTTTTCTCTCATGTATCTGTCTGACTATGTCAGCCCAACCCCGTAAACCCTCCCATTTTTGCTTTCATATAATATGGAACATCTTAAAGTCAACTCAACTCAATGGCCATTTCCTCCCTCAAACCCTTCCTGATCTCCTTTGCCCCACCAGGTAGAAGTGACCAAGCTCTCCATTGTATCATGTGTATACTTCCATCGTGGCACCTTATCATACTTATTTCATAGCTAAGAGTTGTATTAGACTTTTAAGTTTCCTTATAAACGGGGATCATATCATATTTGGCATTATACCCTTAGTACTTTGCAATAAACCTAGCATAGTATGAACCTGAGCATAACATGAACATGAAACTTTCTTTGGAAAGGAGGTATGAGGACATTGTCTTTCACTTTTCCTTTTTATCTTCTGAATTGTTCAGCATTTTTAAAGATGAACATAACTTTTATATTGAAAAATGAAAATCTGGAAAATAAATGAGTATACATAATTTATTTTTATTAATTCTAAAGAAAAAATTTAACTTTCCAGTCATAATGGTGCCACAACATTATGTTGCATTTAAATTTTCTTCATTGCCAAAATATTCTTGGAATGATTTTTGCTTTGTTATTTTTAATAGCAAAATTGTATCAAATCATTTTTCTAAGAAATAACTAAACTTCTGTAGTGACATTCCTCTACATATTTGCATTATCACAAGGTGAAAACAAGGTATCATACGTGTAGGGTTAAGATTACTATTTCCAGAGGTTTGCCTTCAAAACACTTCCTTGTAACCTCTACTCCTACTGTTTCAGTTTCCACTTCTTACAGAAAGATTGCCAGATGTTTCAGTAAGTGTTTTATCCTGCTCCACCTACTTCTCCACCCTTGAGCTCAGTAGAACTTATTTGTACACTCTGTTCCTGATTATGCTGATCACCAATCCTTGTGAGAATTCCTGGCTCTAGTCAAAGGTGAAAAATGAAGTTATACACAAGCCACTTAAAACCACAGCCCTGAGACCTGATTCTTCACAGGATTTGTTGGAGGAAAACATAATGTATCTTATTACACATATCCCATGGCTACAGAAACTGACATTCCGAAGTTGTCATTTGCTTCACATCAAGGAGGCTGGAAGTCCCCAGTATCTTCTTATAGCTTAGTAGATAGTTTAGTAAAAAGAAAAAAATAAAATAAAGTCACATCAGTGAGTCTCAGGTGGTGATCACTCAGTGAATAGAAAGGGAATGGAAAAGTTTAACAGGGGAAAAGGAAGAACACCTAAAAGCTATGCGATAAAGGAGAAGTGGAAGAGAACAGTGAAAAGGTATGTGCCCAGATTTATAGAGGTGAAGAAAACCTGAGTGTGGTCAAAAGAGAAAGGACATACTAAATAAGATACAGTCACTGAATGAGAATCTCTCTGATGCCGACTGACACAAAAATGTTAAACAGAACACTTAGGAATTCTCGAGGAATGGAATATTGAAAGAAAATGCACATTTCTGGTGTGTCTGCAATATGCCAAGGACTTTACATAACCTATCAACCTTATACTCCAACCACCTTATAAAAGAGCTGTTTGAATTGAATTATAAAATATTTAATTTGGGGGCACCTGGGTGGCTCATTCGTTAAGCGTCTGCCTTTGGCTTAGGTCATGATCCCAGGGTCCCGGGATCAAGCCCCGCCTCGGGCTCCCTGCTCCGCGGAAAGCCTGCTTCTCCCTCTGCCACTCCCCCTGCTTGTGTTCCCTCTTTTGCTGTGTCTCTTTGTCAAATAAATAAATAAAATCTTTAAAAAATATATTTAATTTGTTACATTTAGCTTCCAACTTATACTTTCATTTCCAATAATTCGCCTTCTGACATAGTAATAAAAATATTTTTTTTTCACTCCCTACAAGAGAGAATTCACATACATAGAGAAGGATCTTATTTCCTGGGCAACTCAGCCAATGTAGGGCGGAAATGTGACGAGTTCTAGTGAGTGGAAAGACCTCACAGTAGAACACAAACAGGATGATGTTCTAATACCAGGTGTGCCGCTTACAAACTGTGATATTGGGGACACCTGGGTGGCTCAATCGGTTAAGCATCTACCTTCGGCTCAGGTCATGATCCCAGAGTCCTGGGATTGAGTCCCTCATCGGGCTCCCTGCTCAGCGGGGAGCCTGCTTCTCCCTCTCCCACTCCCCTTGCTTGTGCTCTCTCTCTCTCTCTGGCAAATAAATAAATAAAATCTTAAAAAAAAAAAAACCTGTGATATTGGACAAGTTACTTAAGTATTCTGGGGCCTCAGTTTCTTCATTTATAAAATATTACTGATAGGAAACATGTATATGGTGAGCATTATGTGCCTGGAATTATTTTAAGCACTTTTATATATAAAGTGCCTCTCTTACAAGATGGTTGGAGTATAAGGTTAATAATTTATGTGATATATATATATATATATATATATATATATATATGCTGAGTTGCCCAGGAAATAAGATCCTTCTCTAAGTATATGAATTCTCTCTTCTATGGACTGGAAAATAATAAAAGGGAATGGGATGGGATATAATTGCATCCGAGGCCACTATTTAGATCATCAAACCACAGCATTTTAGAGCTAAAGGACCTTAGAAAGCATTTACTTTAATCCCCCCCCCCCCATTTCACAGATGACAAAACCCAACATGACTCTCCTAAGGCCTCACAACTTCCAGATGCAGAATTATGACAACAGTATACCAGGGTTGGTGTGTCTGCTTGGAAACCTCCCCTAAAGCATGAGTTCAAAACTAGCAAAAAGATAGCCTTTATCAATCCAAGTTTCCAGATCAAATCACAGATGGTAAATAAAACAGCATTGGATCTGGCCTTCACAGGAAGCCAGGAAGAAGGAGAAACACTGCTTTAATTCTACATACAACCTCACTTCTGTATACTATACCGACTTGGTGAAAACAACACACCCTCAACTGCAAACCACTGTGCCAACAACAAAATCTTAGAAAAACAAACATCTGTGTATATACTGAGTTTAATTTTTCAGATGTTGTGGAAAATGCACAGTTACACGTAAGTGTAAGTCACGAAAACACTTTCTCTTTCCCTCACTTTGCACATTCCTCAGATAGTTCATCTCATGTATTGTTCAAGAGTCTGACCAATTTGGACGGAGATAGAATACCTGTGTGCCCAGCCTCTGGCCGCTGGGTTGTAGAAGAGGTTCGAGATGGCACACTCCTGATGGTATCCCCATCAAAGTCCAGCATGTCCCTTGTGCTGCTGTACTTGGCCTGCATCTGGACTCCTGCAGGGGTGTGGTTGAGCTGCAGTTCGATGGCCCCCAAGCTGCGTGGCTACTTTGAGACAGTGTAGGAAGTACAGTGCTGAAAGTCATTCCTAATGTTCTTCTCTCCCAGCGAGTAGCAGGGGAAGCCTCTGACTCCAGTTCCTGCTTAGAGAGGCCCAGCCCCTCTCCCGGGAACTTGTACTCTGAAGGTCAAATTGGTCAGGCAGAGGGGAAATAGCATGTGTTTTCTATTTGGGCGGTCTCTTTCTGAACAATTATTGAAGAGTTGCCTTTCTCGGATCTCTTTTGTTCATTTATTTGTAATTCCTGTGTAAGTACAGTATAAAAAAGGCAAGACCCTATAATCACACAGAGATTCCCTTCAGGCTCTATGGAGCAATAATCAGGCAAAGGAATACATATCACCTAGTCTCTTATATACCAGACACTCACTGAGTCACTTAGATGAGGTTTAACTTCTGAAAAGAGATCATAGGACCAGCCTCTTCTTTCCTGCAAAGGCATAATATAAAGCATCATATACATGGAATGTCAGCACAGAGTCTTTTTGAGAATATCTATTGATTCTACTTTTTCATTTTACAAAAAAGTAGATTGAAGCCCAGTTAGATGAAGTGGTTGTTTTAAGGTCACATAGCTGCTTAGTGACAGTATTAGCTTCAAAAGTGTTCTCCTGTTGGATTTCTCCAGGAACAAAGGAGCCGTCAAGTGCCATTTCCCTCCCCTGCCCCTCAGCATAAACAACAACCACCTGCAGAAACCAGTGTGGTGCCTAATTTGCTAACACACACACCTAACCCCTAACATCCCACCCCACCCACACTGCTTCAGAAGATCTGCCCTTTCTAGTTATGCTCACCTCAGTCTTAGCACTGCAGGTGCCCTCCCCTAGAAGACCAGCACAAGCCTGGCCAACACCCAGTCTCCTGCCCCCACACACTTTGCAGGATCTTGGGCCAGCTTTGGTAGTGACAGTGGTAGCAGTGAGTCCCACAGAAGACCAATTGCTAACACTGTGTGCCCTGCCCATGCATTCTTTACAGATCTGCCCTAGTCAAGGCAATGGTGGTGGCCGGTCTCACTTTGCAAGCAGACCAGTACGCACCCTGTGAAAACTGTGGACCCTGCTCTGGCTAGTGCGAGAGGCAGTGGCATGTTTGCTCCAATACACTCTTGGGCAGAACCAATTCAACCTGGAGCCACAAGGCTGGCAGTGTGCAAGCAGCCCCAACAGGGGCCAGCATCAATCCAAAGTGACACCTGCCCCGGAATAAGAGGAGATAAACACATACACCAATCAGAGGGCTGCCCCAGCTGTGGGCTGGGGGCAGACAGTGGGTTTGATTGTAGGCCCCACTCACCAGTGAAAACTACTCAGGGAAAGTGCCTTGCAATTTGCTGCTACTGCATCTCTAACAAATGTCTAGTCTGACTCAGCTCAAGCCCAAGGTGGTCCCAAATGGGTCCACTAACACCACAGGGACCAAACACCGCCCACAACAGGGAAAGAGAGCTAGATGACTGGACTGAAGGAAAAGCAGTCAAGACTCAAAAGCAAGGCCCACACAACACACACAGGAGACACCTCTGAAGCACCAGGCCATACTTTCAAGAGCAGGAGATGTAGCTGACTTCCCTAACACACTGAAACAGACACAGAGAGTTAGACAAAATGAGGAGACAGAGGAATATGTTCCAAATGAAAGAATAAGACAAAACCACAACAAGAAACCTAAGCAAAATAGATATAAGTAATATGCCTTAGAGAATTTAAAGTAATGATCATAACTTTACTCATAGGACCTGAGAAAAGAGTGGAGGACATCAGTGAGACATTTAACAAAGAGTTAAAAAAGGAACAATCAGAGATGAAGAACACAATAAATGAAACTAAAAGTACACTAGAGGGAATAAATAGCAGGCTAGAGGAGCAGAAAAACAAATTAGCAACCTGGAGGACTGAATAATGGAAAGTAATCAAGCTGAGCAGATGAGAGAGAAAAAAAATATACAAAATGAGAATAGACTTAAGGAACTCAGCAACTCCACCAAGTGTAATAACATTCACATTATAGGGAGCCCAGAAGAAGAAGAAGAGAGAAAAGGGGACAGAAAATTTATTTGAAGACATAATAGCTGAAGACTTCCTAACCCTGTGGAAGGAAACAGATACCCAGATCCAGGAGACAGAGAGAAACTCCAACAAAATCAACCCAAGGAGGTCCAAGATACATAGTAATTAAAGTGGTAAAAAGTAGTGGAAAAGAGAATTTTAAGAGCAGAAAAAGAAAAGAAGACACTTACCTAAAAGGGAAACCCCATTAGACTATCAGTGGAATTTTCATCAGAAACTTTGCAGGCCAGAAGAGAGTGGCATGATATATTCAAAGTGCTGAAAGGGGAAAAAAAAAATCTGCAGCCAATAATCTTCTATCCAACAAGGCTATTATTCAGAATAGGAGAGGGACACCTGGATGGCTCAGTTGGTTAAGTGTCTGTCTTCAGTTCAGGTCATGATCCCAGGGCTCTGGGATCAAGTCCTGCATAGAGAGGGAGCTGCTTCTCCCTCTGCACCTCCCCCCTGCTTGTGCTCTCTCTCTCTCTGACAAATAAATAAATAAAATCCTTACAAAAAAAAAAAAAAAAAAAGGAATAAAAGGAGAGATAGAGTTTCCCAGACAAGCAAAAGCTAAAGGAGTTCATGACTACTAAACCAGCCCTACAGGAAATGTTGAAGTGGACTCTTTGAGTGGAAAGGAAAGACCATAAGTAAGAGCAAGAAAAGTAGGAAGCACAGAGGCAGCAAAAATAAGGATATCTGTAAAAGGTAGTCAAGAACTCACAAAATAAAAAGACACATAAGGTACGATATTATATACCTAAAATATGAAAAGGAGATGAGTAAAGAATGGGTTCAAACTTAAATGACCATCAACTTAATATAGACTGCTCTATACAGAAGATGTTATATACAAACCCAATGGTAACCACAAATCAAAAACCCGTAACAGATAAGCAAAAATAAAGAGAAAGGAATCTGAGTATATCACTAAAGAAAATGAGCAAACTGTGTGAGAAGAGAGCAAGAGAATTAAAAATTAGAGAAGAACTACAAAACAAACACAAAACAAGTAACAAAATGGCAATAAATATATATTTAGCAATAATTACTTTGAATGTAAATGGACTAAATGCTCCAATCAAGAGACATAAGGTGATGGAATGGATAAAAAAACAAGACCTACCTATATGCTGCCTATAAGAGATCCATTTCAGATGTAAAGACAGCATGTAGATTAAAAGTGCGGGGATGGAGAAACATTGATCATGGAAACGGATGTCTAAAGAAAGTTAGCAATATTTGTATCAGACAAAATGCCTTAAAACAGAGACTGTAACAAGAGACAAAGAAGGACACTATATAATCATTAAGGGGACAATCCAACAAGAAGATAAAACAATTGTGAATATTTATACATCCAACATGGGAGCACCCAAATACATAAAACAGTTAATAAGAAACATAAAGGAACTAGTTGATAAAAATACAATAAGAGTAGAGGACAATAAGACCCCACTTACATCAATGGACAGATGATCAACAAGAAAACATTGGCTTTGAATTACACTCTGGACCAGATGGATTTAACATATATGTTCAAAATATTTCATCTTAAAACAGCAGAATACACATTCTTTACAAGTGTATATAGAACATTCTCCAGAATAGATCACATATTAGACCACAAAACAGTCTCAGGAAATTCAAAGAGATCAAAGTCATACCATGCATCTTTTCTGATCAAAATGCAATGAAGCTAGAAATCAACCACAAGAAAAAAAAATACGGAAAACCCACAAATACATGGAGGTTAAATAACATGCTACTAAATAATGAATGGGTCAACCTAGAAAAAAGAAATAAAAAATTACATGGAGAGAAACAAAATGAAAACACAGCAGTCCAAAATTTTTGGGATGCAGCAAAAGTGGTTTGAAGAGGGAAGTTTATAGCAATCCAGGCCTACCACAAGAAACAAGAATAACCTCAAATAAAGAACCTAACATAAACTTATACCTAAAGGAGCTAGAGGAAGAAGAACAAACAAAAGCCCAAACCAGTAGAAAGAAGGAAATAATAAAGATTAGAGCAGAAATAAATGATACAGAAATTAAAACAAAACAAAACAAAACAAAAATATGAAAAAAAAAAAAACAAAAATATGACAAAAACCCCAATAGAATGGATCAAATGAAACCAGGAGCTTGTTCTTTGAAAAATCAACAAAATTGATAAACCTCTAGCCAGACTCACAAAAAAAAAAAAAAAAGGAAAGAGAGGTCTAAAATAAACAAAATCAGGGGCACCTGGGTGGCTCAGTCGTTAAGCGTCTGCCTTCGGCTCAGGTCATGATCCCAGGGTCCTGGGATCGAGCCCCGCATCGGGTTCCCTTCTCGGCAGGAGTTCTGCTTCTTCCTCTCCCTCTCCCCCCTGCTTGTGTTCCCTCTCTCGCTGTGTCTCTCTGTCAAATAAATAACAATTTTAAAAAAAATCTTTAAAGAAAATAAAATAAAATAAACAAAATCAGAAATGAAAGAGGAGAAATAACAACCAACACCACAGAAATACAAAGGATTATAAGAGAACATTATGATAAATTATATGCCAACAAATTTGACAACTTAGAAGAAATGAATAAATTCCTAGAAACATACAACCTTCCAAAAGTGAAACAGTAAGAAATAGAAAATTTGAACTGATCAATTACTAGCAATAAAATTGAATCAGTAATTAAAAAAAAAAACACCCAACAAACAAAAGTTCAGGACCACATGGCTTCACAGGTGAATTCTACTGAGCATTTAAAGAATAGCTAATACCTATTCTTCTCAAACTTTTCCTAAAAATAGAAGAGGAAGGAAAACTCCCAAATTCATTTTATGAGTCTAACTTTACCCTGATACCAAAACCAGATAAAGACACCACTA